GCACTCCAAAAAATTTTAGACAATACCCTAGGAAAAGACGAGGATCACAACACCAGGAAGCCCAGCAGACTGAATCCACCAGGCGCCACAAGAAATTAAGATCTTAATTTGGTCAAAAATATACCATGTTGGGCCGGGGATTTAGCTCAATGCTTTCACAGGGCTGGGGATTTAGCTCAGTGGTTTCGCTGCCTGTGGCACAAGAGCAAAGACCCGAGTTCAATCCCCAATACCAAAAAATAAATAAATAAATAAAACCAAGATCCACTTTTTTTTGTTGTTGTTATTGTTGTTTGTTTTTGTTTTGGGGGTTTTTTTCCTCTTTTTTTCCTGTGCCGGGGGTCGAACTTGGGTCCTTGCGCTTGCAAGGCAGGCGGTGTGTTTGTTTTTGAGACAGAGTCTCAATATGTAGTTCAGGCTGGCCTTGAGCTCACTGTGTAGGTCAGGCTGGCCTCGAACTCGAAGTGACCCACTTTTAAAGCACATCACATACTTTAGAAAGTCACTTTTGAAAACTATAAGATAATACCAAGAAGACACCTAATCCTCTCGACCTGTTTGAAGCAAACACGTACATTTGGAAGAGGTTTGAAACCTGCAGGAATGGCCAGCGAGGTCCGGCACACCTATGATCCCAGCACTCTCCATGCTGGGGCAGGAAGACTGCTGCAAATTGAGACCACCCTGGTGAGATCCTATCTCAAAAACACAAAAAAGAAAAAGAAAGAGAAAGACTGCTGGAAAAGGCCAGCTCCGGCCAGCTCCAGCTCACTTCCCTCCTTCACATAGCCATTCGGCCCCCTCCCCTGAAGACTAAGTTTGCCATTCAGTCATTTGCTGCCCACGGAACCCAGTGTGTATAAAATCAGACAGTGTAGGCAGTGATGCCTAACGAAGACATTACACAAGCCAGAAGGTCACTTTCATTTTTGTAGTAGCCACATTTAAAAAGCTAAAAGAAACTCAATTTTAACAACCTGGCTCGTGTAACTCAGTGTACGTGCTGTGAGATCAGCCTAAGAATTACCCCTGAGATCTGTGCCCACCACGGTCCTCGGGATCCCAGTGGCTCCCATGTGGGCCCTGCCTGCAAGCCTAGGCCCTGCAGAGTATGGAGGCCCCAGGGGACACGTCGGGGCTGTGCCCACTGAAGAAGCGAAGCCAAGCCCGACGCCACAGAGGACTTGGTGAACAAGCCTCTTTCACGAAGTTCGAGAACAAACAAAACTAAGCTAGGAAGCAATCCAGAAGCGGCCCGATGGGCAGGGAAGGGGCCTGCGGGGACTTTTCGGGTGACGCGATGGTGGTCACATGTGCGTATCACCGCCAAACCCCACCGGCTGCACCCTTAAAACGCGGCACTTTCCTGCGGGGAGACTCAAGTCCGCTCTCCCACAGCCCCGGCCGAGGCGGGATCGAGGGGCTTTGTCTAGCGCGGCGCCGGCGGGCCGGGAAGGGGACAGAAAGAGCCAGTCACCTGCGCCGGTCGCCAGCCTCCCGGACGCCCGCGCGGGGCTGCACTTCCGTCAACGCCACGTCCGGGCTCCGGGGCTGCCGGCGGGGCTAGGACTGTGTGCCGGGGAGCGCGGGCGCCACCGGGGAGGGGACACAGGCGCGCTGCCCCACGCGCGGGGGGCAGGGGCGCGGGGCCCGGGCGGGAGTTACCTGCGCGGCGGCGGCGCCCAGGAGGGTGGCTCTCGTGGGCTCCGCCCCGCCGCCAGCCCTGCGCTCACCTGGCCCGCCGGGGTGGGGGCCGTTGCCTGGAGTCGCCCCTGGGTCCTCGCGGCCGCCGTCCTGGGGCCGGCGAGCGCGCCGAGCCTCCTCGCCCAGCTTCCCTGTCCGCGTCGGCCCCGTCCCGCTGACTCACGCCGGGAACCCGCGCCCGGAGCCCGCCCCTCTGAGGTGATCCGGCGGCCCAGGTCCCCAGGCCCCGCTCGCCCGGCCCTGCGCCTCCCTCTCCCTTCCCTGCCACCCAGGGTTCACCGTACAAAAGCTCACCGGCGCACAGCGACTGTTGCCACTGTTCGTGGAAACGCCACTAGTCACAAGTGTTTGTGCCTCTCCTGGAACGCGGCGGGAACCGCGGCAGCGCGCGAACCCTTCCGCGGGCCCTCAGTCTGGTGGAGAGGCCGCGCCTGCACCGGGCTGCAGCTCCGGGGAGCAGTGCCAACTGTGATTGGGGGACTCACCGAGTGACTTGCTAGAGTGTTTGCAGGATAGGTGGTGCTAGGAAGTTATTCATTCGGGAGACTATGCGGCTCAGGCTGGCCTTGAACTCACTATATAGCCCAAGCTGGCTTCCAACTCAGTGATCCTCCTGCCTCAGCCTCCCGAGTGCTACTACAAGCTGTGTCACCACGCCCGGCTCAGTGCACAGAAATCTTATGATTGGCTCAAGTGATTCCCAAATTAAACTCTCAAGTCTGAGTCTGTATTTTTTTTTCTTTTTTCAGTACTGGGAATTGAATCCCAGGCCTTTACACTGAATTACATCCCCAGCCCTTTTTATTTTTTTAATTAATTTTTGTTTTGGTACCAGGGATCAAACTCAGGACCTTTCACTTGCCAGGCAGGTGTGGTGCCACTGAGCTAAAGCCCCAGCAGCCCTTTTTATTTTATTTTATTTTATTTTATTTATGGGGGGGGCGTATCGGGGATCGAACTCTGGTCCTTGCGCTTGCGCAGCAGGCGGCGAAACCACTGAGCTAAATCCCCGGCCCAGCCCTTTTTATTTTTTGAGATGAGGTATCACTAAATTGGCCAGGCTGAGTTCTACCTTGTCATCTTCCTGCCTCAGCCTCCCAGAGTGGCAGGATTACAGGCCTGGGCTAACCCCCCAATTCACTATCCAGTTTCTTATGCCCTTCTTTCTTTTTGGAGTTTGAGAGCACTGTATTTAGGAGAAAGTTAAGAAACACATTAGAGGGGACATAAAAATAATTAAGATGTACTATATACAGGTACCACCTCCCTGTGATGAATTTAATCATGTATAGCAAACACATAATAATAAAAATTAAAGCCAAGCAGTGGCACACACCTGTGATCCTACCACTTGGGAAGCTGAGGCAGGAGGATTGCCTTGAGTTAGAGGCCAGCCTGGGCTACATAGTGAGTTCTAAACCAGCCTGAACTACATAGCAGGACCCTGTCTCAAAAAACAAACAATAGGGCCAAAGATTTAGCTCAGTGGCTTCCGGTGCCTGCCTCACAAGCCAAGCTCAAGGTCATCTCCGGTACAAAAAAAAAAAAAAAAAAAAACAACAATAGGGCTGGGGATGTAGCTCAGTGGCGCCGCCTGCCTGGCAAGTGCAAGGTCCTGAGTTTGATCCCTGGTACAAAAAAAAATTTTTTTTTAAATTAAAATAATAAATTAAAATAAATGAGAGAATGAATCAGTTAAATGTTTTCCTTTCAGAGATACTGCAGGTTCTAATGCTGCATTTAATCTTTTAGATTTAATTTCTTTTCTGGGTCTGGTAGTTAGTCAATAAATCCTGTGCGTCTGTGTAATATTTTATGTGTAAAAAGTCCTTTGTTACTTTGTGGCCCGGAACTAGGTGCCTATCTGCCTTTTAAATGCCTTGCCATAACTTTGCTGAAATATTAACACATTACTGCATTTTTTTCTTAAACAATAACAAAAAGCAAACATACACATATATAATACTACTGATATAGAGGAAATAAATTTAACTCCCAACCTACTAGATGTCAGATACTCCGAGTTCATGTTCCCAGAGGTCAAAGAATGAATTCTAAGGAACAACAGAAGTTAAGAGTAGGAAAATTAAAAAAAAAAAAAAAAAGAGTAGGAAAATTTATTGGGGAATAGGAATGGGGAATAAGAATGGGAAATAGGAATAGCTCCTGAGAGATAGGAGGGGTCTGGAATGGGTTGCCAACCCGCCCACTTTTCTGAGGAAGTTTTATAGAGCAAAGTCACAAGGGAGGGATGGGTACAGCATCAATCAAATTATAATCAACCAATACAATTACAAGTATAGCCACTTAGCTAATATTGATCCAAGAGTAACAAGGCCACATGGATGACATCAGTAACCTTGGTTGTAACCTATTATCTTAGTCTTCTCTTTAGTTTTAGTAGTCTTAGTCTTAGTGGGTAGGAGATGGCCCACCCCTAAAGAGATGATGGTTTAGTTCTGTGGGAAATCTCGAAAGGGTGGTACCAATATCTGAATCTTCCTTAGGGAAGTATGTAAATTTGGCCATTGTGACTTTAATCTTCTCCAGATGGGTCTCCAGCCAGTTTTTGGTTTTTGTTTTTTTGGTACCTAGGATCGAACTCGGGTCCTTGCGCTTGCGCAGCAATCCAGCCAGTTTTTGATGTATTCTCATCTTCTGCACTGATTCCTCCAAGGGCCTAGCCTTGTCTGACTGCCTATAATATTTTTTTCTTTTTTTGCCACAGAAAGCATTTACCTGTTTATTTCTGTTTCACTTTTTGTATAGAAAATATACTGGAGAGGTTGGACCATTTTTTTTTTTTTTTATACCAGGGATTGAACTTGGGACCTTACACTTGCGAGGCAGGTGGTGGAACCACTGAGCTAAATTCCCAGCCCCTGCCTATAATGTTTCTATCTTAGCGGTCTATGATACTACTACCACAATTTAAAAACTAACAGTTCTAGGTTAGCAATAAAAGTCAGTGGTAGAGTATTGCGTAGGGTGTTCAAGGCCCTGGGTTTGATCTCCAGCATTACCCAAAAATAAAACCCCAATACATCCTGGGTCCACCTGAGGTAGGATAAAAGAAATAAAATTAGGTAGAAAGGAGACAAGAAAATGAAAATTTTTTAAATTGTACTTTAAAGAAAAACTGCAGCTTCAGAACACAAGCCTGGTTTATTTACTTTTTTTTCCTTCTCCCAAACAGCAAACCTGAGTAACTACCTTTCAGCTGCAAACTGGTCTGCCCATCCCCCTTTACAGTGGACCCTTGAGTTACAACTGGCCTGACATACAAACAACTTGAGATAGGACCAGAATTTTAGTTTTAACTTACAAGCAAAGTCTTGCATTACAACTTGAATGCCAGCGCTTGTGCTTCCAGATGGTCTCAGACACAGATTGAACCCCCAAAGAGTTCTGGGAGGAACATTGCAACATCCTTTCCCGTGTGGGGTTCATTGAGAAATCCTGGGCCAGTGCCTCTCTGTATACAGCAGAGAGACTCTGAAGGCTATGTAGAGGAGCCTGAGCCTTCAATTGACCAACTTGAGTTACAACCAGCCCTCAGGAATGAATTGGGTTCATAAATCAAGCGTCCACTGTACTTGCAAATGGACCACTCTGAAGATTTCCCATAGGAATTGCTCACTAAGCATGGGCCATCCTCTCTCACCCTCTAAGATGAAGACTGAGACTAAGACTAAAGATTATTGAATTCCACAGATTTCCACCTCCCAAAAATATGAGACCCCCAGTTTCCGACTGTATGGTGCCTCATTTCTTTGAGCACTCACACACTGCTCTTGCAGACCAAGAGCCTCCTGCCTCTTGCTCGTGCCTCCTATATCTTCCTTTAGTAAATTCTTCTTATTGGGCTGAGGATTTAGCCCAGTGGCGCCCCGCCTGCCTCACAGTGCAAGGTTCTGAGTTCGATCCCTGGTACCAGAAAAAAAAAATTTTTAATAAAATAAAATAAATAAATTCTTCTCATGCCTCTTACTGAGACCTCCTAAAAATTCTTTCTCCAGGACAATAGTCAGCAGACCTGCATACTTAATTTAAATAGGTGGATTCAATTCCTTATTTCAGCATAGTGGACACACCCATGGGTGAATGTTTGAACAAAATGGAGTACTGTACAAGTACATATGTACACTAGAATGCTATCAGATCCTAAAAGGGAAAAAATTGACAATACTACACGAAGAATGAGATTTGAGGGCATTATATTAAGAAGCCAGTCACAAAAAGACAAATACCAGCATTCTGGAGGCTGAGGCAAGAGGATCAACACAAGTTTGAGGCCATCTTGGGCTATATAGTAAGGTCAAGGCCAGCCTGAACCTCATAGCAATACCTTGTTTCAAAAAACTAAAATAAGAGGGCCGGAGATTTAGCTCAATGGCACTGCACCTGCCTTGCAAGCACAAGGTCCTAAGTTCAATCCCTGATACCACACACACACACGCGCGCACACACACACATACAAAAACCTAACATAAGGAAAAATAAAAAATGAAAAAAGAAAACATGAACACTGTCTCAAAAAAGAAAAAGCAAAACAAAAAGACAAATAGTGTATGATTCTGTTTTCAGGTAACTTGCTTCTAAAAAGTAACTTGCCAATGAAACATTACTAGATTTGAGGTTGCTCACCTCTCCTTCCGGAGTTGGATTCCAGGTTCTTCTCATCTTGAACAAAGAATTAGACAAAACAAGAAAAAAGCATTGGCAAAGCTTATTCCAGAAAGTAGAAGTGAAGAGTTGGAGAGAAACTGGCTCTGCAGAGCAAGCTAGGGCAGAGTAAATAGAAAAAGAGGGTATGAGCAAAGATAAAAGTACACACTGCCTCTGGGAAACAGAGCATGGGCTGTCATGGAAAGCTATGATTTCAAAGCCTTCATGTCATTGTTGTGTCCTTTTATGCTGTTCAAATCTCAAGGAAACCCATGAGAACTTCTATGTCTAGGTCTTGAGAGGCGGTGCTTGGATCCCACCCCTCAGGCTGACGTCAGGTCTAGGCCATCCGATTGAAAAGCTGCTGGAGTTCCCCAGAAAAGCCCATTGCAGGGCTTTGGGAACTGTTCTGTGTATGTGTCCTGGATCTTGTAGTCCACAAGTCACACCTACTTCCCCAACCAGCTTTTGCCACACCCTAATCTCCTATCTCAATTCCACTTATATGAAGGGATCCACAGTAGTGAGGCCCATAGAGACAGAAAGAAGAACAGTGCTTGCCAGGGGCCAAGGTAGAGGGAAGGGGGCTGTGTTGTCTATTAAGTAAAGTCTGTGCTTTGTAAGATGAAAAGCATTCTGGAGATTGGTTGCAACAAACTGAATGTATTTCACATTATTGAATTATATACTTAAAGTCAGGAACTTCTGGGAAGATGGTGGAGTGGTGAGCAACAGAGAAAGGGCCTCTCCAACACTGGGTGTCCTGACACTAAAATGTAGCAGTGTGAAGAGGAGAA